GCTTCCAAAAGTCTTTAACAGAAAGCTCATTGTTTTGTCTCATAGCTTCATGTAGATGTGCAAATGACCGCCTTGTGTAGTAAGCTTTAAATGTTTTAATGACTCCCTGGTCCATTGGTTGAAGCAAGCTGGTAGTGTTTGGTGGCAAAAATACAACTTCCACACGTGGATCGAAATTAATTAGAGTTGCGGGAGGATGACCTGGTGCATTGTCAATTAGTAGCATCACTTTAAATGGGATTTCTTTTAATCGGCAGTAACGTTCGACTTCAGGAATAAAATGATGGCCAAACCAGTCTTCAAAAAGAGAAGCTGTCACCCAAGCTTTCGCATTAGACTTCCAAATGACAGGCAAACCAGCTTTGGATTTATTTTTTAAGGCCCTTGGATTTTCTGAGCGATAAACTAAGAGAGGTTTTAATTTACAATCTCCAGCTGCATTCGCACCAACCATCACTGTTAATCGATCCTTGGCGGCTTTAAAACCTGGAAAAGTTTTCTCTTCACGCGCAATAAAAGTTCTTTTAGGCATTTTCTTCCAAAAAAGACCTGTTTCATCTACGTTGAAAATAGTTTGGCTAGTGTAGCCACCTTCATCTATCATTGTTTTGAGTTTTTCTGGATAGAGAGATGCAGCTTCTTTATCAGCGCTTGCCGCTTCTCCACTCTCTGCGATGCTATGCCAATTACAACGACTCTTAAATCGGCTGAACCAGCCGTTACTAGCTTTAAACACTTCATTTTCAGCCGCCTCCCCAGCTTCTTCTTTTAGTTTTTCAAAAATCTGCTTTGCTTGAAAGCACACTGTATTTTGATCAACAGGACAATTTTTCACTCTTACTTGATTATCACACCATGACTGTAGCAATGTTTCCATCTGTGCGATAATACCGTGACGCTTACGGATGATACTTGAATTCAAAGATTGAGAGTCTTTCACAGCGTTCATAATTTTTTCTTTACCTTTTACAACCGTTCGGACTGTTGATTCCGGAAGGTCAAATTTCTTCGCCAATTCACAAATTTTCATTTTTGCTTCAAAGTCTTTAATTATATTCAGTTTACACTCCAAAGACAGTGTTTTTCTTTTCTTGTTAGGCTCAAATGACTCATTTTTTGTTCTTTTAGACGACATAATTAGAGATTATAAGTAAAACGCACTGCGCACGTAAAACAATTGCACGCGAAACACGTTTAAACCTGATGCAAATTGAACACTGAGTGGGCGGAGCGAGAGAGCCGATGCGCGCGCGGAGCGAGAGAGCCGATGCGCGCGCGGAGCGAGAGAGCCGATGCGCGCTGCGCGCGGCAATCAAAATGAAAAACCGCGTATCTCCGAATTCGCGTAAAACGGGGTAGCGTAAGTCGGGGTATTACTGTATATATATATATATTAACTGATATTGCCGAGATGAACGCTATACATACTCAGTATCTTCCGATCGCTAGCTTAACCCAAGCAGCGGTGTGTTTAAAAGAGGAACTTATTCCTCGGAGTGTAAAGCTATTAAAATAGGCAATATGATTGCGTATTAATTGGCATGGTATGCAAGAAGCAAGCCATCCCATCATCTCGAAGAGCAGCGACATTGAAATTAAATGGCCCTTGTAAGCGTAATCGCTTGCTTGGCGCGCACACACAACACACACCCGTTTACAAGGAAGTCACAAAGTTTATATTAAATGCGCTCAAGTTATGATGTGTTAACTGGGCCTTGCACTAAACTTGCTCGAATGGGATCATTATTTTGGGGTAGGGAATGAGTTGCTAGGATTCCTGGTCGACCCTGACTACAAATTAATATCGGATTCAAAATCTACCCACCCGATTTACCTAATGTACGGGTTTTTATGCAAATGATATAAGCATGGTATTTTTAGTAAAAAAATAGAATTTCTACTTACGGATGCTTTATGGTGTATAAAAACACACACGCCGCTTGTACTCTATTAAGGATTTTTAAATGACAGAATATCTACTTCAGCTCCAACTTCTACTACATTTCTCATTTTCGTGACATCATACGGTTTGTTCGTACAGCAGACAGCTACCAAGTTAAATTATTTTTAATCAAATTCGTTATTTGACCAACCGTCGGTGTATTTGACAGAGCTGCCAGTTATCTAGACAGAATGGCCTTAAGATGATATATTTATTTATTTCTTGACTTTTTGACGTAACCACCGAAAATTGTGAAAAGAACTGAAATTCGTTCAGCTTAGTATGCGATGGTCACGCTAAATATTTTGAGATACACGAAAACTAAAAACTATTTTTCGAAAACTAGTTTATTTATGTTTAAAGTATTCTCCTCCAGCATCAATGCATTTCTGTAACCTGACCTTCCACAAATGAAATGCTTCTAACCAGGCAGTTTTTGGAATGCCCTCAACAAACTGATTAATTGCTTGATCGATTCCTTATTCGGACGAAAATTTTCGACCGCGCAGATTTTTCTTTTCAAATTCTTGAAGAGCCAGAAGTTACAAATTGCCAAATCTGGCGAATAAGGCGGATCTAGCATTTTGATGTTTCGCTAGCGTATAAAGTCTACAGTTAGTTGGGCAGTGAGGCTAGAGGCATGGTCGTGATGCAGGATTGTACCTCGGCAACGACTCTTTTTGAATGAAGACGATCATGCAAAATGGTGTGCACTGTTGCGGATCCTACCACAAGACTTGCCTCTATAGTCGCATATATGTACGTAGTCATGCCATAAGTTCTGTCCCTCGTTTTCAAACAAGTGTAGACCTGTTAATACTTGTCCGATTGTTTACATTGTGGTGTCAGTTGATTAAGCGCTTTTCGGGTAATTACATATACCTCAGTTTGTATTGATCTCTCGAAGCATAACGATGGAGTGGGGCAAGGCAGAGAACCGTATTGCAGTGATAGCTTTACATAAGTGTAATCACAGTGCTAGTCAGATTTTTGAACTCTTACGCGGCCTTCAAATATCGCGTAAATTTGTGTCTAGGACCATTCAGCGGTACAATGAGACGTCCTCTGTTGATGACAGGCCAAGAAGCGGAAGACCTCGTCAAGTAAGGACTCCAGCAGCCATCAAAGCCGTAAAAGCCAGGATTCAAAGGAATCCACTCCGGAAGCAGAAGATCCTATCCAGGGAAATGAAGATTCCTGTCCGGACGATGTCGCGCATCATTAAACAAGACCTAGGGCTAGGGGCTTACCGGAGACGTACGGGCCAGCGACTTACGGCCACCTTGCGACACATCAGGGCGACAAGATCCAAGAAGCTCTTGGAGAGGTACGCAGCTGGGGGATTCCGAAAGATTTTGTTCACGGATGAGAAAATCTTCACCATAGAAGAAAAATTCAACCGACAAAATGACAAAGTGTATGCAAGGAGTTCACAGGAAGCTTCGGAGATCATTCCGAGAGTTGAGAGAGGCCACCACCCTGCGTCAGTCATGGTTTGGTGGGGGGTGTCCTACGAAGGGGTCACTCAGCTCCATTTCTGTAAACAGGGCGTGAAAACAAAAGCGGCAAACTATCAGAGCGACATACTGGATCCTATCGTCAAGCCTTTAAGTGGTACATTGTTTGCCAACCAACACTGGGTCTACCAGCAGGATTCCGCCCCCGCTCACAAGGCTAAGAGTACGCAGCGCTGGCTGGAAAGCAATGTGCCAGAGTTCATTGCTGCGGAAGATTGGCCCTCAGGGAGTCCGGACCTCAATCCTTTAGACTACAAGTTGTGGGACCTGCTAGAGCAGTTGGCCTGCTCCAAAGCCCATCGTAATATCGAGTCCCTGAAAGCGGATTTGATCCGATCAGCGGCAGCTATTCCTTTGGAAGCTGTGCGTGCAGTGATAGATGAGTGGCCCGCGAGATTGAAGCAGTGTGTGAAGGCCAAGGGGGGACATTTTGAATAAAACTGTTTGATTATGAATTCTAAAAATGTTGTCGAATAAATAATATCTTTCATATAAATATATCTTATCTTGTTTCATTTTTATCATGAGATTATCATGGGACAGAACTTATGGCACGACTACGTATGTGCAGAGAGAATCTGCTTCAATTAGACGCTGAACGTTAGCAATGTTTTCTGGGGTCACACTAGAACATGGCCTACCGCTACGTTCTTCATCAGTCAATGTAATATGCCTTCTTTTAAATTCGGCATACCAGCGAGACACACTTGCCCGGGACGGAGCTGCATTTCCAAATGCCTGTTGTAACCGTTTCGATTCATTGATGTTCAGTTAAACTTTAAGGTCATGGTAAATCATAGCGCGATAACTCTCTCGAGACAAGTTGTTTCGTCTTAAATTTGTTTACACCACGTGCACTGTAAGACGCTTGCAAATGAACTGAATACGGCGACTTACTAATAAAGGACTGCTTTTTTTAATAGTGCACTCTTGTCGGTTTTAACTAGTATAGTTAATGAGCATCTCAAAATATACAGTGTTCCCGTTGTATACCAATGAATGTATCGTTTTCTAAACATTTTATGTCAGTGTGGCAACACCGCCTCGGTAAAAGCAAAGCGAAACATTCGTATTCTTGGTAGAATGTTGAGCCATCTGTGAGCGAATCGCCAGACCAAGACAGATTGATATTTCGTACCGCGTACTGGTATGATATGTTCTTCCTCTCAATGCCTCTACGTTCTACTTTGTTAAAATAGCATGTACAGAAACAAAAAAGTAATTAGCCCATTGAGAGCTGTGAATTCATATATGTTAACAAACAAATTCTGATGTATGTGAGGATAAATTTGAGTAGAACATGAATCGCTCTAGACTCTAGACCCCACGTCGGACCAAGCGTTAAATTTTATCGGATTCGGAATCTACGTCTCGTATTTGCTCGACAAACAACCAAACTATGTATTGCCAACATAACATAGTTCCAATTACAGGACAGTTTCAACAATGAAGAACAAATATGTATGTCAAATGCATTACTAAACCAAAGGTAAATTATCACAGTTTCCAATAAGTAAAGACTAAAAATAAAATAAAACAAATTCATGAAAGCCATATAGTAGTAGTAATATCACTTAAATAATCATAATTATTAGATACAGCATTGAAATTCGTGACAGCTACTTGCAGTTTTCCAATCTGAAATAAGAAGATGAGCGCAACGTAACTGAAGGAACATTAAAATCACCTGAAATATAATGAAGGAGCTTGTAAAGAGTTGACACCGAATTCTTGATTCTATTTGCACCTTTCAGGATGGACTCCTTCAAATATAAACATTTTAGAAAACGATGTTGCACCCTCTCAGTTTCTGCTTTTGGTATATGCGATATGGCTTCCAAAGAAATGATCAGTATTCTAAATATGATCCTTTCGTTTGCCCGACCAAAAGGCAGCCAACCATAAACAATTGGTTCGTGCTTTTTGCTAACTCATCAGCATGGTCTAGGCTTGGTCTCTCATCTCTGGGATAACGAACGAAAACATCGCAGCCATCATCTATCCAGAAGGTACGGTCTATTGAAACAGGACAGCGCAAAGCGCCATCTATCACCAGAATTGACCACTACGGAGAGCGCATGCCAGCTATTCACATCTAATAGCCCAGTCACTCGTCCATCCGACTGAAAGACAGCCAACAGCCAACCATGGACAGCTATTTCGTGCGTTTTGGTATTGCGATGATGAAAGTCCTAGCCTAGATCTATTAAACGCGAAATATAATATTTTTAATGCTTCAACACTGGTGCACAATTTGTAGTACCTTACTATGAATCCGAGCACTTTTGCAGCATGATTAACTTTTTGCTGTACCTATATGCTTTTTGAAGCTGACACTTGTGTCAAACAACACACCAAAGTCCTTGACTACGCATTATCTTAAGCTAATTGACGTCGTACCACTCGCTTGAAATTACAAGATTTTGCTGCATTAAGGAGATTGGTAACCACAATAAGATTTTTGAATCATCAGCATAGAACAAAGGATTACAAGTAAGTTCTTCAGAGGTATTGTTTGTAAGAGAGATCAACAATTTGAAGATGTCACATGATAACAGTATTTGCTATAAAACGTTTCTTTACCTTTAATCGCATTTTTTTTTGTTTAATGCCTCGATATTTTTTAAAACATTATATGTTCTGAAAGGGTAATATAAACAAATATTTATTTTTGAAAATCTCTTGAGACTATTGAAGGAATGATGTGAAAAACAATTAAGCAGCGTACGTGGCAATGGAAGCCTAGCATCAAGAATGTACGCCATGTATGGTGTGTATGTAGGTATGAGGAGGATAATAGTATGCTAGCAAGCCAGCAAGCGCGCAAGTTCTCAGCCAATAAAGAAAAGTACAGTACGTCGTCATCCCGGTGTAATCCCGACAAAGCGCTGCCCTTATATCATCATCGTTATGGGGCTAAACAGTAGCGTACCATCTCGAGGTCGATCTTTTATTGTTCATGCAGCCACCAAGTCAGCTTCTATCGCGAAAGCGACCTTAGATACTTGGTTCTTGTTTTGTATTCAGCATATCAGCTTATGTCCCAGCAAAACCTGTCGCAACAGTAGGAAGCGAAACATGCCGAAGTCTGATTAACTGAAACTTATCATAAATGTGGAGTTGAGTTTTTATTTACGTTTCAGCTACCGAAGTGGTCTTTTTCAATAATTGTAATCTGGCACTCTCTTTAATTATTTTATTCACCGCTTTATATTCTCGTGTGTCCAATCTTTCCTGTACATTTTTTGCTCCTTTGCCTTTCATTAATAAGATTCGATGTTTCATCTGATATCCATCCTTTCCTCTTTTACACTCTTTCATCTAGTTTGTCTTCGGCTATATCTATACATATATCAGCAAGAGCTGTTTATTTCAAGTTCTGTTGTTTTAATTTGAAGGTCATCTCCAAAGGTCTGTCTCCCTCTTTACGTTTCAAGTTTGCCTATATTGTATTGTATGTCAGTGTTCGGCATTTTGTTTTTCGGCTGCTTGATTGGAATAGTTTGGATCAGTAGATGATGGTCGCTGCCGATGTTTGCTTCTCTTTTATTGCGCGCCTCGAGCAGGGATGATCTCCATTCTTTTAATATGCCGATGGTTCATCCCGATGCAGTCCATGTTGCCTTGTGTACATTTTTGTGCGGATAACCAATAAATAACCTATGGTTGGAACAAAACTTTGTGAATCGCTCTACCTTTGTCACTCATCACATTTTCACATTATAGTTTTTAAGTTAGTGCTCTCCTCATCAACTCTAGCGTTCATCGCCCATCACTGTAAGGATATTGCATTTGTTTACTTACTGAGCTGTCTGCTCTAGCTGTTCATAAGGAACGGTTTTCTTAGGAGGATGTATTCGTAGGTGCATAACACTGAATCACAGTTATCTTGTGGAATTTCTTGAAGAATGTGACAGTCATGATTCATGATCATTAATTGGTTTCTATAAGTTGAGGATTTCTTTGGCTTTCTTGCTGAGCAAACGTGGAATGACTATTTGTACACTAAAAAGTACCTAGTCTGCAAGATGACATTTCGTCGGTTTTTTTGACGTTTTTTAGGTTTTACATAATACCCCTGCCGTGCCGGTCTGTGGTAACAGGGTTCACCAACGTGCAAGTGAGGTTGACATCTGAGTTATCGAGGCGATTTAAGACGCTGCATAACCCCATTAGAAGCCCACAATGACAATATACTTCCAGGTACCGTTTGCCTAAATGCCAGACAGTCAGAGAGAAAGAAGGGAAAAAGAAAGAAAGCAAAGAAAAGTAGATGCATCGGTCAGAGGAAAGCGCCTTGTCATTGTTAGCAATATCAGCAAACCTTTAAATGGAGTTTTTCAGACCCATTCATGATTCATCAAACTGCTACCCTATCCTGACGAGTTGCTTATGTCCTCTGCACCAGATTACGGCGGGCGGTGTCGGGCGCATTCGTAGCACCGTCCAGTGGACATAAATCGGGCCGGCTAGCTGGCAGCAGCATAATCCTCGGCATGCCGTCGTAAAGTAAGACCATCAGCGCCTACTGTGGGAAAATATGTATCTGGAGCGAGGCACGGAACACCTCAAAAAAGAAACGGGGAGCCAGCCAGCTTTCTACCGTGGTAGCAAATCAAAGATACGATCAGACTATCTGTATAATTAGAATAACTTTCAATTTGAAAATCGGCGAGGTGGTACAATTAGGAAGTTAAATTACATTAAGTACCTTGTATCCTGAATTGGGGGAGAGTCAATCAGCTGAAATCACACTATTCGGGAGCCTTGTACGTCTTTGATATCTCAAACTATTTATGAACGCGGATGACACTACCTCTAGCTTAGTTTTAATTCAGCATATATCATCGATGGTTCAATTTGGGCTACTCTAGTAGGTACTACACTGCGGGCCCTTTAGTACTCAGCTTCTGAGCTAGCCTGTCACAAAAATAATGAAGGAACTGTCGTCAACGGTAGAATGAGAAGCAGAAGTCTGACGTGCTGGTCTGGCAGAGACAACGTGCAGTTGCATATAGGAGCCAAGCTCAGAGAAGCAGTCAGTTGGATAGTTTTTCCCTGAACAGGATCAACTATGAACAGAGTAGTCAATATTCTTCGAGTTGAAACCTACTATTGAGAAACATCCGCCCTGACATTATGGAATGGAGAGCGCAATCCGTCAGTGACGGATGTCTGGCGACCAGATATGAAGTCAGACCATTCAAGCATCCATTTTTACTTCCTTAACTTCTTAGAAAGGCCATACGTCGGCAGTTTACACAGGAGAGCAACACTTCAAACTTGAATGAAAGCTTTAGGCTTGAGTCTCATTGTATGGATGAACAGGTTTATTCACACACTTCTATGACATAAGCTAAGCTATGGCTGGTGCCAATACTCGCTGTTGCTCGAGATACCTCGAAAGCTCCCTTTCATCTTGCTCTTGATGTAAATAGAACTATAGGGCTGTGATTGTTTGTGGCCTGCCTTCGATTCTTTTTTTGGGTTGACTATGTGCAAACTTATATTTCACTGGAAAAATGCCGGAATTGTAAGACATCTGAAAGAAACGTGAGAGGAAGGGAGGAAGCTCTTGTGCACGTTTCTTTAATACTATTAGGGATATTATCAAGGCGAGAAGTTTTGTTGGTATCGATTGGATGTAGTAGCCACCTGTCTGTCTTATGTCTCTCTGACCACTACTTCCATCCGCAGTGTGAGATCTCGAATATTTGGAGGGACGTGAATGGTGTAGTAGGGCCCAAGTTGTTGGCAATTTCTTTCGCCTTATCCTTGAATTCGGTTGCAACCATCTCGTTGTTATCTTTCTCAAATCATATTTTAAATAAATATTCCCGAAGGAGTATGCCCTGCTGCATTTCCATAGCAGCACCTCATTGCCACAAATTACCTAACAAAATATCAATCCGACTCCGCATCTGCATTCCAACCTGATTAATTTAGAAAGTATACAGCTAGCTACAGCCACCCACTAACTGCTCATAGAAATAATTAATATATCTTTGAATGCTCGTTCTAGGAAGCATACAGGTCCGGAGTCAAGGACAGCTTCATTCGACAGGATGAAAAGGATCTGTTTGCTTTGAGTCTCTGCGACTATAACCACTGTATAGATCGTTGTTTCATACTTTTTAGCAATCATTAATACGGTGTGGTCTAGTGATTTGGACACAGATTACGGAAAATCTCAATATTGTGCTATACGGAAAAAGAAGCTGACACGTCACCTATGCGTAGTTTCTCGAATCACAGTACTACCGGCTCCTACGTAAGGTAACTGGAATCTTTAAGCGACGGTGAAAAAGGGCATGCACCACATAGGCGTCACATCGTCACTCAGGAGAGTACTAAGCATGCTACTAGCATTGGCGTTACATAAATTAACGTCACATGTCCCTTTTTTTTCAACATCCTGTCTTAACGTTTCTTCTTAATATTTTTTGTGTCATTGTGTAAATATAGATGACTGAAAAATACTGTCATCAGCTTAGTTTCTGATAAAAAATGCATATTTTTCGTCGATCGTAAGTTAAAATAATAAAAAATAATAGTACAGCTCTAAAAATTGTATGTGAATATTCCACTTTTATGGAAGAATTGAGCGGGTGATTGTTTTCTTATCCTATTACTTTTTT